GTCTTTTCTAACCTTAATGATTCTATGAATACCTATTCTATGAAAATGCATTCAGAAGAACCAAAGAAGCATTTTTAAGAACAGAAATCATCCACCGAAAAGTGCATTTCCATAATGGTACTGCTTAAATGATACTATTTGCACCAACTACTTTTTTTCTCTACAGTGCTTGTGACACAGATGCAGGGTAACATAACATGAAACAGGAATTAGAGTGACTGGCAACAGGACTAGAGTGCCCACCCAGCCCACGAGAGCTGGTCTATGTAGAAAAAGTTGGGGTTTGAATGACAGTAGTGGAGATGGAAAAAATCCCCGTGGTTCTCGTGGGATTAAGACAAAACATGAGCAGGTTCCAGTTTATATCAATATTTTTCTCTTAATCATACACAATTTTGCAACTGTTCCACTACTTTACAAATTCTCTTACAGTATATATGTTATGGGCCTTTCCATAGGGATACGGAAGTTGAGAGGCAATTAATTTTGTCATTATTGTTTTTCTTGCATGATCATAAACAATAGAGGACTCTACTGTAAAACAGGGAGGAAACTAAGCTAAGGCACATTAATATGGCTGTAGATCTGGTCCCTTATAAGCTAGTGTCAGACTGAATTTTTGTTCACCTATACTTGCATAAGAAATAGTGTACCACTTCCATTTTTTTCACAAAGTACATTTGTAGTCTAAAACACAGCACAGTTCTAACTTTAGACATTTAGACATTTGTTTCAACTTCTAATGATATTTGCATTGATGAATATGTGATCATAGTGAAAAAAACCACAGATCTGGAACTCTTGGAGCACCAGAGTTATTCTGTATCTCTTGCTGGCATGCTTGCAGCACACCTGCAAGCCTCCCTACACCTTCCATTCAATAGAAATTTTTCTCTACCCCAACCACACCAGACAAAACTAAACTAAAGACCGAGTGTTTACAGTGCAGCAGTTTGTTTTCTCTGAACCATTGTTCACAAAAACTGTGACACTGTTAAGTAATAACTAATTAAAATATTTCCATATGCTGATACAAATATGCACTATGTAAAATTAAAGAAAATATGAAAAGGCTGCGGTTGTTGTAAATTCAATTTTTGACAGATGCAAAAGCAATAATGAATGATCTCTTTGCCACGGGCCATACTCACATCAGCATAATGCCCCTTCATATCACAGCGGTTGCAGTGTTTGTTCCAATAGGCTTTCTCAAGACACTCCCTGAAATAGTGGCCAGGCAAACAGCAGTTCAAGCAAAATCGTGCTGGGCAGCTGTTCTGTAGATGACCTCTTCCTGCACACAGGCAACAAGGGGGCACTTTCTGTGGAGAAATAAAAACCACAATTATGTTAAGTGAGAATGTTACAAAAGATTAAAGAAAAGAAAAAAAAATCAGAAAAGGAAGGTAAGAAGAACCCACCCCAAATAAATGTGTACTGCTTACTAGGAATTGCAGAGGTGTTGTGTTTCATCAAGGAATCAAAGTGAAGGAAGACCATGAACAGAGTGAATCATGAAGTTGTCACTCCACAGACACCCTGTACTTTCTTGATTTGGACCTTGCATCACAAGCACTTGCTAAATGCCTAGCATGCATGTTATTTGCTCCATTAATACAGCAAAAATAATCATTAAACTGGAAAGAGCAGAAGTGTTGGGCACTTTGTATGAACACTGTTTTTTACTAAATTTCTTAAAAGCTGAAAACTGTACCACAGACACACAATGTGCAGTATGTAACGCAATGTACTGGACTGGATTGTACGTACGGTCTGTGCCACAGACCACTGAGTTGGGCTGGGACGGGGTTGATTTTCTTCACAGCAGCTGTACGGGGCTGTGCTTTAGATAACAGCTATACACGTGGTGCTCACCAGTAAAACAGGGGGAGGAGGTTTTCCACAGTCGCTGTTGCTGGGACACTGGCTGGGCATCGGTCTGCTGGGGTGAGTGATCGCTTTTGCATTCATGGGGTTTTTCTCTACTTACTTTATGGTCTTTATCTTGACCCATGAGTTTTTCTTCCTTCTTCCCTTCCAGTTCTCCCCCTGACCCCAGAAGGGGTGTGCAGGTGAGTGGCTGGGTGGGGGCTTTGCCAGCCAGGGTCAGCCGGCCACAACCACGTGTCTGTGAGCCTTGTGACTCACACAAACATGCACACAGACCGACAAACGTAAAATGCTGAAAACTACTCTGGGGCCATAGCTGTATCTCTCCAAAGCCAGTTTTCCCTGCGAGTGAGCATATCTTCACTCCCAGGGCTGTGTGGGATGCAGCCACTCCACGTCTCAGCTGGGTAACAGCCTCAGGCACTGAGGGTTTTGCAGACTTTGCTGGGGAGACTGGTAAATCCAGACTCTCACACAACTGCCCCCACTTCTTCACAATATAGTGACTGATTTTTAAGCCTCTATCCCTGGACAAACTTTCTGAATATCTGGCATCTATCAGAGCTGCTTAAAGTTATTTTGAATTTGATCTTGTCTATAATTTTTAACATTATTCAAATTGTGGTTCATTATATAGATATCTGCTCTCACTCATTTACTAAGGGTAAATTTATGTTCTCCTTATTGAAAATACACTTGAAAAACATTTTACACCTTAAAACTGGTTTTACAACATGAAAAAAAGTTTCCATATTATATTTGGCTGTCGTCATGCTCAGTTTAGACTTTTCCCTTAATAAAAACAATAAAAACAATGACCTCCACAAAACAGACAGATAACTTTCTATAGTAAACTGATCTTGTGCAAGCTATCCTTCAGCCTGAAGCAACCTTCCAATTAAATAATAAACCATGGAAGCAGTGCTTTTAATGGCAAGCACAAAAAAAAAAGGAGTATTAGAAACAACAGCTGCATCTACAAATAAATGAACTGCTGCGCTTACCTTTGGAGTAGGACAGTTCTTGGACAAATGACCTGGTCTACCACAGTTTCTACAGGTAACATTTTTATCAGCTGTGTAGTACCGCATGCTGGTGTGCCTCACACTTGCATAGTTGGAGATCTGTGCCTGGGAAGAAAAGAAGAGAATTTATTATTTGAGATTCTGTGGTTTCGCGTTTGTTAGAACTGGAAATTTGTAAAGGTCACTGCTGGTAGTATTCAGTTAGAAATCTATCTTTTTACAAGTACAATTTATACATCCAGGTTTGAACTAGATAATTCTGTTAGAGAGCAACTTGCATTGTCTAGAAAAAAAGTATTGTCTCGTTCAGACTTTCACTTAGGGACAATATTTTGTTGCTGTTTAAAACTTCAGTTATGAAGTTTTGCTTTCTCTTGATTAGTCACGACACTTTTACTCACTACGCTATTTCATGACAAACTGTAATTTTTGCCAGAATATAAATATAACAGTAATTGCAAATGCAAGTTACACGTTTCCTTGCACACATTAAGGGAAACTTCTTGGACAAAGTACAATGCAATACAAGTCTAGACCAGATCTGCAATTTGCAATTGTAAAGAAAGATTTAAAAAGGAAAAAGAACAAAAAAGAGAAGCTGGAAACAACTCTCTCTCTCCCAGTGACCTCACACATACTTTCTGTGCAGGCAGACAGAACTGAAAATCCCATCTTTAACCTTCATTGCTTAGTAAAGTCACCATTTTTAAAAACTGAAAATTTTGGACAAGTGAATGGGAGGGGTACAAAAACACCATTTCTCTTAAGGTTTGAGTGTGTTAATGTCAAGTGATGAGGTAAGCTTTACTGAGCCTTGGAAGGAGCAATCAGGAGTGGGACCTTACAGCTGACGCTCACTCTTCCTGGACGCTACGGCATCTCACATGAACATTCCAGGTTACAGCCCAACCGCACCAGCTCCTGAGTCCAGTCCGACATCTATGAGTGCAGGAAGGCTAACCCAACACTGACGGCTCCTAGTGCCGCCTCTGGGAACATGCCTTAGCCACCACGAAATGATTACTAGTCCCTGAAGGGACTGGGAAGGTGGAGTTCCTCCTCGCAGTCTGTGGAGGCACTCCGATTCCTGCCATCCTCTTCCCTCTCTGCTCTGTGCCTGCCCCAGCAAGTTAGCCTCTCCCTACGGCTCCGTCTGCTTTTGGTAGGACACTGCTAAGGATTCCACACAAAAAACACAGATGGATTTTGCAATCCCATTTATCTTGCTCTGCCTGTTAATAAACATACAAATAAAGGGTTATGGAACAATTTGGTGGTGTGTGTTACCTCCAGGTCTTTATTAGAGATGGACCAGTCCATATCTGCTTCTCCTGAAAAACAGAAATAAAATGAATTGTATTTAATGTATAAGAATATTTTTCTATAATGTTTTCAACTTTATGATTAATGCATTATTGAAACCTATAAGAGACTCTGAATGTACAAAAGTGCAGAAAATAGTTCCATCTTCAGTAAAGGAAAGCTGTTGTCGTTGTTTAACCCTGGCCAGCAACTCATCCTCACCCAGCCACTCACTCACTATCCCCTCGCGGGGTGGGGGAGAGAATCAGAAGAGTAAAAGCAAGAAAACTCGTGGGTCAAGATAAAGACAGTTTAATAAGTGAAGCAAGAGCCATATGCACAAGCAAAGCAAAACAAGGAACTCATTCCCTGCTTCCCATGGCAGGGAGGTGTTCAGCTGTCCCCAGGACAGCAGGGCTCCAACATGCATAACGGGGACTTAGGAAGACAAAGTCTTTTTCCTCCCCCAGCATTACATGCTGAGCATGATGCCATATGGTGTGGGATACCTGTCTGGTCAGTTGGGGTCACCTGTCCCCGCTGTGTCCCCTCCCAGCTCCTTGTGCATCCCCAGCCCGCTCG